GGGGGGCGGGGGGGGGGGCAGCGGGCCGAGTCCCGCCGTGGCCGTTCGGCTTTCCCCGTGGGAGGCTCCCGCGTTGCAAAGGGCCCGGGTCCTGAGTTCTTCTTGGATTGAATATAAAAAAAATGTCAGCGGAGCGAGAAGGTGGATTCTGCCCCTCTGTTCCGCTCTGGGGAGACAGCAGAAGGACATGGAGCTGTTGGAGCGGGGCCGGAGGAGGCCCCAAAGATGCTGGGAGGGCTGGAGCCCCTCTGCTGGGAGGGGGGGCTGAGAGAGTTGGGGGGGTTCAGCCTGGAGAAGAGAAGGTTTCGGGGAGACCTTAGAGCCCATTCCAGTCCCTCAAGGGGCTCCAGGAGAGATGGGGAGGGATTCTGGATCAGGGAGGGGACCATAGGACGAGGGGTAATGGCTTCAAACTGAAAGAGGGGAGATTGAGATGAGATGTGGGGAAGAAGTTCTTTGCTGTGAGGGTGGTGAGAGCCTGGCCCAGGTTGCCCAGAGAAGCTGTGGCTGCCCCATCCCTGGAGGGGTTCAAGGCCAGGTTGGAGGGGGCTTGGAGCAACCTGGTCTGGTTGGAGGTGTCCTTGCCCAGGGCAGGGGGGTTGGAACTGGATGATCTTTAGGGTCCCCTCCAGCCCAATCCATACCACGATCCTATGAATATCTGTTGTTTCTTTCCTTTTTCTAGTAAGGGAACAGCTGAAGGAGCTCACCAAGCAATATGAAAAATCAGAAAATGATCTCAAGGCCCTGCAGAGTGTCGGACAGGTGCGTAAGGTCTCTCTTCTCTTAGCAGCCTGTGGCGGTACCTGACAGTGAACTTGTCTGGAAATAGCATTTAAGTCCATTTTTGGTGCCGAGAAAGAGTGGGAATGGTACAGCCAGCAGAAACAGAAGCATTGGGAACAGACACACCAAGCACGTGGGTTAGAGAGGTTTTGGTGTTTATTCTGTCAAACAGAAATGTTAGTGCTACAGAAATGAAAATGCTGGTAACCAGCGTGAAGCAGGAGGAAGACCCTCAAAGCTGACAGTCGTCTTCTGTGTCCTGGAACATGTCAAACATTGTTTTGCAATGGTATTTTTTCTGTAGGCTAATACTGCATTTATTCTTTTGCAGATTGTTGGTGAGGTTCTTTTATTCTCATTTATTCTTTTGCAGATTGTTGGTGAGGTTCTTAAACAGCTGACAGAAGAGAAATGTAAGTACACTGCAATGTCACATTCTTTGGCATCTTGAAAATTAGCTTCTGCAGTGAAAATCTTACTTCAAGAGAGTAAAGAGTTAGAGTATTGGTGATCTGAGCACTGGCAGAAAAATCTAATACAGTGAATAGTTTAGAAGCATCATTCAGAGCAGTCAATCAAGTAAATTTGATTTTTTTTCCTTTCATCTTCTCTTTCCAGTCATTGTGAAGGCTACAAATGGACCGAGATACGTGGTCGGCTGCCGTCGCCAGGTAGCTGATCTATCTGAATACTTATGAAAAGTTTGCTTTGGTTTTGATTATTAGCATTGCTTTCCATAAACTGGGTCCTTAGTGGGATTAAGTATTTTCTTCTTTAAGGTGTGTATGGCTATTTTATAGTGGTGTCTGCTTGCCCTCTCCCTTCATAGCTGGTTGTAGCATAACTTCCTCGTAAAGATAAAGCCGTCTGAAACATGCCTGGTGCTTTGCCTGTGGCTTAATCTTTTCACTGAGTTGAAACTCTGGTTTTCTACCTGATTTTGGACTCTCTGAAAATTAATTACGGTAATTAAACCCCATAGATGGGCTATTCCTTACCAATGCTGCCTGTTAAGTAGGAACAACAATATTTACTGAACGTGTTCTGCGACTGCAGAGCTGTTGGGAGAGCAAATCTCTAGTAAGATTTTATTAAACTCATCCCTGACTCTGCAAAATGGAAGCAAAGAAGAATACTTATGAAATGTGGGACTGTAAGGTGTCTTCTGAACAGAGAATATCAGAGAATAGTGGATCCTGAGAAGGCAGCAGTGTTTTACTTAGTTAATTTAATGCACACCTAAGTGTAAGAGCTTTTAAGAGCTGTGACCTCTCAGTGTGTCTTGAACTGATTCCTTTATGGTGGAGAAAGGTAACTGCAGTTGAGCTTTAACACGCCACGATTGTAGCATATTTTTCTATGTTATGGAAAGTGTAAGAAATAGGAGTTCCTTCAGGAAAAAGAGCACAGGTGTAGTAGTGATGTTAGAGGTGGCTTTCCTGAAAAGAAACTGATGTTCTTTACGTCATTTTGAACTAATTCTATGTAAAGAATGGCAGTAAGCAGTAAGCAAAACTCAGGCAGTCTGTATTTTCCTGTGTTGGTGACTCTGTCAATGGATTGTATGTTTTTCAGTAAAGATGGACCTTTTCTGCTCCTTCTAGAGAGAAACTGTTTGGGAAATGTGGGTACCAGGAAGTGTGTTAGGTCACGTAATAGAGATCGCCTTGACTTTCCTCAAGCACACTGATGAGATGTTTTACTTGCATAAAACATCTACAAAAATTGCTAGTATTGAAATGCATTTTTAAATACATAATTTTTTAAAGCTTCATCCCTTTTGAGACGTTATGCTGCAAGCTCAGTATTTTCTTTCACCAGAATGAAGAAAATATTTTTCTGGACCATAAGTATGCTTAATTCCACTTAGATAGTCTAGGGGTTCTGTGTTGAAACAGAGGTAAATGCTCAGGATTAGATGATGCCTGGATGACCTTGGCATCACAGCACAAACTTTCCGGTTTCTTCTTGAGTAAAAACACCTTTTGATCTTAAAAGATTTGATACCAGAGACTAAAAAACCGTACCCGTGATTGTTTCCAAAATGTCAAAATATCAAGGCAAATAATTTCCCCTGGAGTGTTTCAAAGACTGGAAGAACTAGTTTTTGATCAAGGTCCTTGTGGTGTTTAAATTGAAAACAAAATTACTTCCCTATCTAGAGTGGATTTCTCAAGGAATTGAAGGTCAAGTGGTTTCTCTTTGTTTTCTTCCCACTGGAGAATAATTGAAATCTATTGGGTGATGTTGAATCTGAGAGAATTTCAAGCTTTGACAGATTTCTTAAGATTAGGCAGCTGGAAAGAGGTCTCCTTAGTGACCCCAGTAAGGGAGGAGTGACAGCTTGAGCCTGAACGCTGCAGGAGACTGAGGGGCTCACGTGGGCAAGGGACCTTGGGAAGATTCAGGCAGTTTTTGCAAACAGTTATCAGAATCCCTGCTGTTCA